TTAGTGTTAATCTTCTGGATTTCTAATTGTGTTTTTATATGCTTCCTTTTTTTTTTTTCATTTATTTTGTCAGTGAGTTTCCGGAATTCTTATAAAATTTTGTCTATTTTTTTTCATTATTTCATCTACTGCTTTCTAGATCATTTTTTTTTTTTCAAGCCATTGAAGGTGCCATATTAACATTCTTCTAAAGCCTTATCAGCTAGTTCTAATACCATTTCTGGAGTTCTATTTTCTGACTCTGCATTTTACTCATTTGTTTGATACACTCTGTCTTGTTTGTTTGTGTAAGCTTAAATTGTCTGTTTTCTCTGAGACATTGTGGTGTTGTATTTTTATTGATTGATGATTTTACAATGGTATGTTCTCAGGCACTCACCACGTGTCTCCAGGTGGAAGTGGTAGAGATAGAAAATGTGGACACAGTTACTTCTTTGCTAACTGTTTGAGTAGTGTAATTTATGGTGGTTTCACACATCTCTAGAAACAGGAACACTATGTCTATTGGCCAAACCCAGGAAGAACAGAAGCTGCACAGGAGGAGGAGATATTGACCATTGGATTGACAAGGGCAGTGATTGGCCCCAGGCCACCAGCAAGGGAACAAGGGAGAACTGTGCCTCCTTGGGCCAACCTCCAGCTACATCTTTGGCACACAGGCAAATACATCAACATCTCTTCACAATAACCCAAGATAGTGACACTGCTTCCTGGCAACCTTCCTGGCACCTGTTTGTCTTCTATTTTGTGGTTCCTGATTAGCTTCCTCTTCCAGTCAGCAATTAATCCTTCTCTGTCTGAACTATCCCCTGATGCTCAGGATTCCAGGATCACCACCTGTATCTCTTTCACTTGATCTCTCATGTCTTTGTTGCCGTTCATCTGGTTATTATACCTTCTTGCCTCCTTCTTTCTGATTGCTATCATTTTGCTGTGTGTTTTTCTCTGGTGCTGCTTGTTTCTTTGTTCCATATAATTGTCTGTGCTGAAACCATTTTAATGGTTAACTTTCTTGTCATTTTCTTCATTATTGTTGTTTTAATGTTTTCTAAATCTTTGTGGTTTTCCTTTTATTTGCTTGGGTGTGAGGGTGTATT